AACTGCTGATTTATGGAAGAGCAATGTTCAATGTCATGGCAAAGTAATGCAGTTTTTAGAGGGGTGACTCGCTAGAAGTATTCACTGTGACTCTGGACTTTTCATTCGGGTTTATGCAACACTTACTTGTTACTATCAAGAAGGTTTAATATCTTGTTTGTATTTGCACAATGTGAATGAGGGGTTTATTGTCAAAATATATACTTGTATGCCTATTGAAACCATACAAAGTTCGACCAATGCACATCCGTTTCATGTGTTAAAAGAACATTGCGATGTTCTCATGGAATTGTTAAATCTTGGTATCATTCCCAACTATCACCAAACTGTACGTTTTGACGACTCTACAAATGTATGCACTTCTGGGACTTGTAATAATTTTCTGGAAACTGTACAGCAAATCACATATTTTCATTTTTAATTGTACATAGTTTTTCTAAATTTCAGTTTTCATTGTTCATAATTATTTACAGTAATAACATATTTTTCCGATTGTGTGCATGACAGCTTTGCCCACACACAATAAGACAAGATGATATGTACGGATATGTGCGAGTATGTTTCATGGATTAATAGGCCACTCCTTTGCTTCAATTCCAACTACATCTCTGGAAATATCACTTTCTGTTTATCATCCATATTTTGATATCCCACAATGTGTCGATTGCTTATCTGGAAATTCTAACTACTATTTCGCAAAATTTGACCAGCCTTGCTTCTACCAGTCATTTAAGTCAACTCCCATATTGTCTTTCACAGTGAAGGTTAATTCAGATATATTGTAAATTACACAGAAGTAACATTACAATACATTCTCCTTCACATTCCCCTGTATTACATAACAATCTTTGAGCTGAGGCAGTTATGGTTCTACAACCATCACCAGTTCTCTTGTACATATTTGTTTATTTAAACTCTAGTATTACGTGACTGATAACACAAAAGAAATTCTGACCTGTCTCGTTCCTCTCGGATTTCAGCTTTAATGAATGTGGTGGTATCCGTGGTAACAATTCCCATGGAAAGTTCGTGCCCAGTTTTTTCATCAGCTTTATAGACATCTGAGCAATCGTACATGTTGACAACACCTTGGGGTATAGTACCAGGCTGTGAAACAAACCAGACGTAATTTATCAATAATTGAAATAGACGATGTCGTTGAAAAGATTGGAGTGGAAAGTGCTGACCCAAGAGGAACGCCAACAAATACATCTTATATAATATATTATATGTACAAGAGTATTTTTGGTACATTAAAAAGAAACGCTTGTAAAAGTAATTTCACAACACAGATTTTTAATAAAAAATAGATGTAGAAGTGTAGTCATTCCCAAGAGTTACTGTGAACAGCAATCCCACTACACACAACTCCAAAAGATTATTTCTAGCACTGTACTGGAAAATATTCAGCTTTCTTTTTATAATACAATACAATATAGAATATCTCAGTACTAGAGTTTCTTTGCAGTATAATTATTCTTTACTTTAGAGACATAGGGGAGTTCACACATTAGTCAATCAGACTTCCAACACTTTTCACCCAGCCACGAAGAGGCTATCTTTAGTACTTATCAACATAATAAAGGTTGCATTAAAAGTGAAAGCACTTTACTACGGAAAATGACAATTTTATTGTAGGACACCTTTTTACACAATAAATTAAATGGTGCTATTTTATTCCATACAAGTATCATAAAAAATGTTTTATGGGTGATTTGTTGTCAAGTTGTGAGTCATACCCGGACTGACGGATGCAGGATAAGAATCACATTGAAAGGTTCAAATTGCCATTTAGATAATGTTTCCAGTGACAGTGATGGATGGATGGAAAAATTGATATTTGATAGTTATACAGTTTACATATTTATTTATAAAAGTTGTACTTCATACAGGTATGCAAATGGTATGCTGAGCTTTTTCCGTTTATTTGTTTTTTACAAAGAAGGGGTTGTTTTTGTTATTTGTACAATATTGTGACAGTCTTGGAAAAAAAAGTTGTGAGCGAGTCATTATGAACCAACACCTGTTTACTGAAAAGAATTTTTTTTTTTGTCCCTATAAGATGGTCTGCAAAGGAGATCTAAATTCAATAAATAGGTAATTATAAATTACTAGTAAAAGACAAACAAATATTCCTAGAAATACTAAATACTAAATGCAAAGTCTGTGTAAGAACTGCTTACTTTGAATCTCAGGCTATTTTTTTCTTCTCATACTCTTATGTATTTCCAAAGCATATGTGTGTTTTGTATTTTTGAAAACACTAATGATATCTCGCACTACTTTTTACAAAATTAAACTTATTCCTAGTCTACTCTGTTTTCTGTGATTCTAATTTCTATTGGGTAGAAAA